GGACAGTTGTAGACACTGATTTTATCTAGTCTTTTTTTAATAATAATGATTTTAATACTAATAACAATAAAATTAATTTAATTAAAATTAAAAATCAATTAATTATTAAAAATTAATAAAAATTATTTTTTTAAAAAAAAGAAAGAAAAACAGAAAAGCTCAAACGAAAAAAAACAAAAACATAGAGGCTGGTGCCAGTAGGTGTCGTGCATGGCACCATCGATCACCCACGCCCCTACCTCAGCCATCATACCACCCACCCCTGTCCAGTCCCCTCACTAGGTCTTTACAACCACTCTCATACCCTGCAAACCCTGTTCACCCTCTATTTACCAGAAACCCCCGACCAGCCCCTTTAAAGCCCTAGACCTCTCATAGGGAAACGTCCGGTTCGACCACTATCAGAAAGCCTACTAGTCCCAGTCGCACCCCATATCTCTCTCACACCAAATACTTCCAAACGCAACCAAATACGCACATCAATACCCAAAACTCAAATACAAAAAAAAGGAAAAAATAATAGAATCACAACATAGTCCTCTCCGTAGGGAGGAATCTCAACGCCAAAGCTCCTTGCAAGAACAAAAAAAAAAGAATCAATCTTCGTTTTACAAAAAAAAAGAAGGAAACAAAAATTTTCAAACATCGATCCATGCTAACGGGGGTAACTTTTAGCGAAAAGAAGACTAGATTGAAGCTCAGGAGAATACAAAAATTTTTTTAGACATTTTTACGACTTTTCGATTGTCAAGACCGACGATCGAAAACATCGATCGAAGCAGCGAACGGTGACCGTTCGACAATTTAAAGAGAGGGGCTCTAAAAAAAGGGAAAGCTATAAAGAGAAAGGAGAGAGAAATGAAGCAAAAAAATTTTTTTCGCTTTTATAAAGGGTTGAAACTCAAAACGATATCGCTTAGAGAAAAGCCTAAAATAACGTCATTTTAGCCAAGGAGATCCGTGCGTCAACCCGGACCCGACCCAGGGTCTACGTATCCGATTCGTCAACCCGGCTCCTCATTCAGCTCTAAATTGATTTGATCAGATCGGACCGAATCGCTTCTCATCCTACTCAACCGAACTGCGTGCCAAATCAAACCCTTTTGCAATCCAATCAAATCGCTGTTGGCAGGTCCAGTTCAAGTAAAAAAAAATTTTTTTTGAATTTTCTATTTTTTTTTGTTATTTTGAGTAATTTTTTTTATATATTTATGCATGATAAATTTTTAAATTTATTAGAATAATTATTTGATTATTTTTATTAATAATAAAATGAAATAAAACAAGATAATAACTAAAAAAATTTTAAAATGCTAATAATAATAATAATAATCTAAAAGAATAATAATAAGAATAGAATATTTTTATTTTCCCTGCTTAGATGTTGGAGGAAATAAAAATATACCCTAAAAATATAATTTCGCCTAGATGTTGAAGAATTATATTATTAAAAAATATATAACAATAATAATAATAAGATTAATAAAATAAAAAATTGATAATAATAATAATAAATCTTCATTAAAATATGTATAAAGTATAATATTCTTAAAATTCATAAAAATCGGCTTACTCCGAAAGTCTGCCTAAATGTTGAAGATTTTTAGAGATGTTCATGTTTTAAAATTTTAAAAATTAAAATCCCAAACCCTAAAATCGAAACCCTAAACCTCCAAACCTCAAAATCAAAATCTCAAACCTCAAACCCTAAAGTCGAAACCCTAAAATCAAAATCTCAAACCTCTAATCTTCAAAATCAGAACACTAAACCCTCCAAACTCATTAATTTTTTTCACACGTATTCTTAATTCGCATTAATAATGGGATTAATAAATAAAAAGTATAATGATATAATGAGATCTTAAATATAAATAATCACACCAAAGCTCCGCCTAGATGATGGGGAGTCAAGGTGGTCTTATTATATTTAAGAATCCAATTTCAATTTGCACTTCATTATCATACACAACATTTATTGGCTTACATACATTTATTTGTTACTGTTTGCACTTGTTTGCATTTTTTTTCTTTAATTGTTACTTGCTATCTGATAATACCATCATTTACTCTTTTGCACAAAAATGTTTTTTAATTTACTTACATTTAAAATTATGATATTATAAAATAAAAAAAATAACATTCTAAAGAAATAATTCTTGGTACTCTGTCTAGATGTTGGAGAGTCACCAACAATTATCTTTCACAAAAAGTGTTATTTTTATTTTAAGGAGTATTTTATTTAATTTTAAGCGAAAAGAGTTATTTTAAATTCTGTCTAGATGTTGGAGAATTTTAAGATAATTTTTAACTTAAAGATTTCTTCAATATTCCTAAAAAAAATTTTAACCAAAATTTATTTTTTAAAAGTAAGGGGAATTAGTGTTAAATGTTAAATTGAAACTATTTTTATCCAATACTGAAAATAATGCATAATTAAATAGTACCAATTTATGGGCATTGTGGGGGTGTTAATCATTCCCCACACGTGATCGACTCCCAGACCTAACCTAATTTTCGCATATCGAAATTTATCTTTTTGATAAACTTTAAACTCGCTTTTATAATTTTATTAAAAATATAAACTTTTGGGTGGCCAATCACACCCTAATAAAAATTGGTGGCGACTCTATTTTATTTTTTTCGATTATAAAATATTTTACGACTGACGGTCCCAAAACCGTTACGGCATAGGTGATATAATAAAAGTTTATGAGCCTTTGGTAAAAGTGTTACACATTATGGATGATGATGAAAAAACAATAATGGGCTTTATTTACAAGGTTGTGAATAGACCTAGACAAGCAATTCAACAAAATTATCGTTATTCTGCTAAATATGAAAAGATTATTGATAATAGATAGAGTTTCGTGCACTCTGACTTGCATTCAGCTAGTAAGTAAACCTAGAGTATTTATGGTATTTAAAAAATGTGTTTATTTTTTATACTTAAATTACTTATATATTATTTTTTTATTACTTTAATATAATATTGTTATGAATTATGTTTAGGTTACTATCTAAATCCACAATATCAATTTGGAGTGAAATTTTCTACAAATGTATTTAAAAAAATATTAGAAGGTACATTAGTAGTTATTGAAAGATTAAAACTTTTTATAGATACTCAAATCAGAATGATTAATCAGGTTAATGTTTAATACTATTTTATAACTTTGACATTTATTTTATGTATTAAAAATAAAATTATTTTTTATTTATTCATTTATTATTGTATTTTCAATGATGTAATTGTTATTATTTCAAGACAAGTATGAAACATTTGATACTTCATAGACACAAAGAGCGTAGAAGCAAATGAATCCAAATAAATAGTAAATTAAATAATTATAATTTATTATTTTTTTAATTGTATAGCACATTCAAATTTAATTTAAATAATTTTATACACCTAGTGGTGAATGATATACAGCACTTGTATTCCTAAATTGCAAAAACTAACAATCAAAGTGCTTAGTCAAAGAATATTTGCATCAAATTATGAACGTAATTGAAGCACATTTAGTTATATTCACACCAAAGCAAGAAAAAGATTGAAGTTTGAAAGACTTCAGACACTTGTATATACCTATTACAACATGAGACTGAGGATAAGACATCAGAAAAAAATGAGTATTGACGAGATAAATAATAGTTTTAATTTTATAAGCCTTGACCATATATTTTTAAGATGATCCATTAACATAATGACTGTAAAAGAAAGAAAATCCTCTGTTAGATGGTCAAAACTCTGATTGGTTACCTGCAAATAATTTTGATAATGAAATAAATGTTGAACGATCATGCCAATCTCAAGAAATGAATGTATCTCATTTAAGTTCAAGTCCAACACCAAGTCAGAGTGATGACGGGGTTTAAGTCTAGATGATAATGATGGTGATGGTGTAATTTTGGTGATAATATGGATGCAAATCAACCTTACAACCCACTTGGAGGAGAACTTGCAGTTACTACTACTAGTGGACTCTTCATTAACATAGTAGAATACGGAGTACATCCAACTACTAAAACTAGTAAGGGTTAAAGTACACGTACAGTTCGATCAAAAGAAAAAGCCAAGAAGCACCACTATGATATATCTAGAGGTTCTTCATCTTCAAGTAAAAGACCAAACTTTAGTAATTTTGAGTATAGTGAATTATCTGCTAGTATTCAATGACGTTACTATCCACCAGAACAACCTAATTTTTAACCTTCTTATAGTTATCTACCTTTATATGGTTATTATCCACCATAAATGTATCATCCACCTCAAATGAATCCTTTACCATAAATATATCCCCCACGACAAATGTATCATCCTCAAATATATCATCCATCTCAAATGTATCAAGAACAAAAGCTACAAATATAGGGATAGAGTCAACTTGGCTTTCAAAGTGAAGATAGAAAATTTGATCATCCTTGTCATTCTACTATGCAAAAAATTTTGAAATATATATCAATAATTATAGTTGATGGAATTTGAAATTATTATATTTTTAAGTTTGTAATTTTTAAATATAGATGCTTGGTATTTAACATATTATATTTTGTTAATATTTGATTTATCTAGAATTAATATTGAATATGAACTTGGCACAAGAAAATTTGTGGATAAAACAAATATGAATGCTTTTGTTATAATTTAATAAAATTGTGAATAATTTTTTAAAAAATAAAAAACATAGAGCGTCATAAACTCTTTTTACAATTATTAAATAAGAGTTTTTATTATTATAATTATAATTATTATATTTTATAATAAATTGTATAAAAATAAAAAAAATTCACAATCACGATGATTATAATAACCATAATGATTTTCGTTATATTCAAAAATGCAATAAACACAATACGATCTAAAATATGATCGTAACCGCTATTAAATCTCTACATGCATGTTGCTAGGAAATTACTAGTATGCCAGAGTCTGGCTTTGACTCTCATAGCTCGCAACAGAACGTGGGGTTTGGTGGTGGATAAGCAAATCAAGGAGGATTTAGCAATGAAATTATCGTTTCAGTATAACTAAGACGAAGTAGAAATGATTGAAAAAGTGTTTAGCATAAATGTATGGAAAATATTACATTAAACTACAGAGTCAATTGTAAAACCCACACACCAAAAAATGAAAATGTCTTGAGAGAAGAAAATTTCTTTAAAATATAAACAAGCAATGCTCACAAATTGTAACGCTTAGGACAGGGTGGATGTTGGAGAAGTAAAAACGCAAGAATAGCGTTTACAGCGCCCGGCCTTTTATAATGTCAAAGCTCATTTCACTAGGATCTGTTGCCTGCAACTCAACTTGAATGCCATCCAATTCCCTCTTGAATCTGTCTTTTGAGCTGGCATACACCATCTTACTTCTCACCTTTGATGAATCGGGTGACCTGCAAAAAACATGAAAAAATATGAGAAAGAAAGACAGACCCCACTCCACCCCACTTTATTTTTTCTCTTGTTTTTGGCTTGATAAATGAAAAGAGGCCATTTCAAACTGACATTCCACCAAATGAAAGTAGTTTTATCCTTGCATTGCATCAAAGTAGTTATCACAAACTATGTTTGGTTTATGAAAATTTTAAAGAAAAAATAAAAGAAATTATAAAGAAATTGAGGGAAAAGATAAAGGACAGAATAAGAAATGGATCCCATTTTAACGATGAATCATATTCTGAGTCATATAAACTGTTTCTGGGTATCAAAATAACAGAATAGAAATGGCTTATTTTGGTTGTTAATTTTTACCACCTCTAAAGTTTCTTTATTCAACATGTTTTCCATGACTCAAACAGAGAAAAAAGATTCATTCAAACAGGTGGGCAGCTTTTAGCCTGAAGTTTCTTATGTACCAAATTCTCGAGTGTTCCAACCTATGTTTAATGAATGGCGTAAAGGTAGATTAATTAGGGGAAGCAAATAAATAGGGTTACCATGCAATGAAGAAAATTTTGCTTTTCTGGCAGTTCTCAGCAGTAGTGAAATCAAAATCAAAGACAGCATAGCGGCACTCATCTGCCGGCAGAGATGCTGTGAAATCGTCATAGGTTTCATCAGGGCTACCAAGTTTGTCTACCACCACCTGTTGGTTCTGAATCTTGAAAGTAATGAAACGGTAGTTCCTCTTTGCTTTTAGCTCCAAGAATTTCAGCTTGCATTCATCATGCACAGCCATTCCAGATGCCGAGTTCGCCTAATCCAAAATTTGAGTTTCCACATATGACCAAAAAAGAAAAGAAGTATATGAATCAATGAAGATTTCCAACCAGTATCTGTAATTTCTAAATTAAACAGAAAAACTAGGATCCAGTTTAGATGTGATTACAGCGGTTGCATTAATCTAATTGATACATCTGTTTTAAAATTTGTAGAAAAAGTTATTATAACAAGATACGAAACTATTGGCCCTGGAAAGTTGCAGTGAATCGGTGACTTAGGCCTAATATTTGAGAACAAAGAGAAGAAACACTAGCTCAAATTGGCACATCTGATAAGGAATTCCATAGGGATGATGTTATTGATGAAATAAGCATTCCTAACAACATCCTGTAGTTGTTAAACCAAATACCACATTTTTTAACAAAGGAGGCGCTGTTTGGGGATATAAATAAAGGGTTGTAATATTACAATTTGAATTTCAAATTTATTAGATATAATTATTAATTTAAAAATAGCTGCACGAAGCAGATACTGTATATTTTACCAATTTGCATGTATTACATTCAGTTTCTTTTCTCTTTGCTTTTAAATTATTGCCTTCTACTTCTAAGTTTCAACAACCTAGAAAAAAAGATGGCCTCTTTCTTGGAATTTCCTAATCAATAAATAATGAAACGAAAATCAAAATAAATAAATATGGTATTTCAGATGTTAGAGAATCCAAATAATATGATCTTTCAAAAGATCGGAAACAATGGAGAAGAGACCTTACCATTTTGTCGTCCAAGGGAAACAAACCTTGTGAGAAATGAGGAGGCAGAGAAGGAGAAGAAGAAAGAGAGAAATGAAGTATGGGATAGGATAGGAAGAGATCCTTAATTCAGGGGAGATATTGTGAGGCAAGATGTATGCGGTGGTGAAGAGAAATTTGAGGGCAAAACAAGGGTAGTCAACTTTCCAAACTTCTATCTATGGCTAATCATGTCCACAACAACAGTATGTGTAGATTATCAGGAAACCACGTTGATTGCTGGTTGCATGGCCATTTTTTTGTTGCCTATTTTTATCATTTTGAGTAAAACTTTCTCATTTCGTTTGACATTTTATCCCTTATTATCAGAGTTCCTGATAGAAGTTTCATGTTTTGGCTAGAGCTCTCTCCTGGCATTTCTATTTTCAGCGTTCGCTATACTTTAAAACAAGATTAAGGTCGGAAATGAACTATAAATATATCAAGGTCAACAATATTGAAAGAATTCGTTCAAGTCAAAATGATGTTAAGGGAGAATCAATAATTCCCAATGTTTTTATTTTATACTTCAAAAATCAAAATGCACTACTTTAGGCCCTTGTTTCTCTTTTGATCTTGTCTTAGCATCTTTTGCATAACATGCATCATGGTCTGTCGACTCAAAGTCCAGTGTCATGAAGTCATCCTCGGGATCATCCCCACTTGTGACTTTTATCACTTGCCCTGTAGGCCTTTCTCCACTTTCAATTGCTGGAATAAGGAAATGATGCAAAGGTTAAGGTTAACATTTCAACATTCATAACCTGACACCATGCGCTTGCACACACAGGAAGTTGGAAAACATGATGTCATCAGATGACACGAATTGGAAGTATAGATACAAAGAATTATTCTTTGCACAAACAGGAGTGCAGTATACATACTTGGTTGATTATTGCCTGAATTGGAAGTATAGGTACCATATAGATAATTTCAGTGTTATGTTTAATGATTAAGAGTAACTTGAATTTCTTATTATCATAAGATTAAATATTTGGTCGAAATTAGGACAGAAGAGCAGTCGTGATAATGCTTATTTGATGTAAGTCTGCTACATTGACCAAAGAAAAAAAATTTTGACTTCTATGTGAATAATATGGAATAGATTCCAATAATTGGGATCCAGTAGTGTAGATGTGGATTACATGGTGACAGCTTCTGGAATTTAAGGTGAAAATAGATGTAAAGCTATCATCATCGTCCCTTCTTATGTTTATGGAGTGCCATTTTTTTAAAATTCTCTAGTACAAATTTACAATTCTGATTTGAATGCAATCTTTAAATAAAATAATAAATATCTTTACCATTAAGTTAAATACTTAAATTGGAAATCTACTATGGATTCACAATTTACTTTTTCATAAAATGTCCAATTAAACCATAGAGATTCAGACTGGGGATAAAATCTGTTTCTATCATATCCTTTGAAATGATTGAACTTAGTTGGGCGTCGCACCCATCATCTAAAAGTTGAAATTCGATTAGCTTTGATTTGAAGGAATGTTTTTTTTTTTTTCTTAATTTTGTTGTTGTTGTTGGTACTGCATCTGCCTTCACTCAATGACCTGATCGAGGTTAGGTTTGATTGATGGTTGCTTTGCTTCTTTTTTTGTCCCTTACTCCACCATTTCAAGCCTTATTCATTGAGTTTCCCGGCAATGGCCAAATGGGCCCTCTCCATCACCCTTGTTTGAGTAAAGGCCACGTTTAGTAAGCAAATGCAAACCGGCCTCCAACAGATTTTATTATTCGATTAGACAGATGGAAGATGAATAAATGTTAAAAAGGGAAGCGTAAATACGTAGGGCATATTTGGCCATTTATACGAAGTTATTACAAACATTTTTACCATGGTTTTCTAAAGACTGATAATAAATTTACAAATGAAACTTGTATATGTGCATAATAATGAAGTGTCAATGTGTCAAATCTCATAAGTAGTACTAAAAAGTTTCCTAAATTTATGATGGTGACAAAATGAAAATTCGATATTTAATTTCTTTTATAAAAATTCATAGTCGATGATACAAAAAAAATTACAAATGTTTAAATTTAAATTTTAATTCTTTGGATGTAAATTTTTTAAAAAATTTATATAAATCAATTAAATTAAGTTAAATTTCTAATTCAAATTCATTATTTAGTTGTATCTTGTTTATTATGTAAATAAATTTGACTTTGCACACATCATCCTACTCCAGCCAAATAAAGATTTACATTTATTAGTTTATGATCATGTTCACTACATTAAAAAGATCTGATAAACCATTACTGACCTTATTTTTTATGAAAAAATATAGTGTACATAAATTGTCATTAACATTTTTGCGTATTTTTATTTTAATTTTAAAAAGAGAAAAATAGAATCTAAAATTTTTAGTAGGGAATATTTTTAAATTACCACTATATAACAAATTATGCTCTCAAATGTTTTAAAAGATTTTAGATGTAGATATATAATTGTAAACATCCTATTTTGTTCAGAGTTTTTTGTCGATTGAGTTCGATCCAAGATTGATCGTAGTGTTTTTATTCATTTTTATTTTATGCTTTATTTTGTATTTATCCTATTTACTTACTTTTTTATTTATTTTATTTATTTTAAATATTTTGGTGGTTTATTTCTAGTTTAATTTCATTTTTTTATCATTATCTTATTAATAAAAAAAAGCTAAAAGTTTGAAATTAGGCTAAATGATAATCGTTATCAGAAAGTATGAGATTTGGTCCTAATATTTAGCTTTGTGAAACGAATTGGAACTGATCTAAAACTCTATTAGTTTTATCTTATAAATCCTTGCAATTCACAAAAAAAGATGGGGACACGACAAGTGATTAGATTGAAAAGCACAAAAAAATTAGAGTGAAGGAAAACACTAGATTCAAGGGTGAATCACAGAGATAACAATGGCAATATAGAGAAAATATACATAAAAATTAGAGACAAAAATAAAAAGTATACAGCAAATATAGAGAGCAATCAAATCCAAAATTTTTTTTAGAAAAACTGTCTGGCAGAAGTTTTTATTAGTTTTGGGAAAGCTTGATCTGGTTTTTCTAAGGATTTCAAAAAATTGAGGGTTGAGTTGGTGATCTTTGAAGAACTTTTTTAAATTTATGGGTTTTTTCTGGAAATTTCCAAATGTTGTTTGAAGATTCTAATATAGATTAAATTTTTTTAATGGGTTTTTGGCAAGAAACCTAATTTTTGGCATTATTTTCAATTTTCGGCATTGAAATTCTAGAAACTAACAACATTCTGATGATTCAACTCAGAATTTGACAGGGATTTTTCTAGAAGCTTACGGTCATTTAAAATAATTTTAGAGAGAGAATGAAAAAAACACAGGGAAGAGAGAGAAAGATAATAGGTGATCTAAGGGAAAAAGAGAAAATTTGAGCTTTTATATTACAAGGAAACGACGTCGTTTAGGGATTTAAAAACTATTAAGATCCACACATTGACCCGAGGGAGACCTATGCGCCAGCCCAACTTGTAGTGCCTTGACCTGTGGCTTGTCCTTTTAAGTTGCTTTCGAAGCTTGCAGTCGAGTCATGATACCAGTCAAACCGAGCTAGCTTCCTATTTTTGGTACTTTCTTTTCATTTTCATTTATTTATTTATTAGTTTATTTGTTTACTTATTTTTATCCTTTATTTTTGAAATATTTTTGCTTGATTAAATTTTAAAAAAATTAAAGAAAGTTGTTTTAGAAGAAATAATTATAAAAACAGTATAAAATAAAAACTTTAATAAAATTTTAAGAATGAATAATTAAGTATCTAATGATGAAATTTTTAAAAATTACAAATAGTTAATTTCTAAGAAATTTTTAGGTGATAAATTTTTTTTCTAAATTTGACCTAAATGAAAGAAAATTCTAAATAAAGTTTCAATAATAATAAGTAATATTTATTTTTTAATTTTTTTAAATGAAAGTAATTGTATTCTTTCCCAAATAAAAATTAAATATTAAAAATATAATTTAATATTTTTTTAAAAAAATGATTAATAAATAGAGATTGAATTTTAAGAAAAATATATCTAAATTAGGCACAAATGGTGAAAATTTTAAAAATAAAACTTGTAAAATAAATAATAAATTTCAATGATGAAATTTTTAATAATTGCAAATGGATGATTATCTAAGACATTTCTAGATAAGAAAGTATTTTTAATTTTGGCCTAAATGGTGAAAAAATTAAATATATTTTCGACAAAGAAAAATTTAACAAAAATAAATGATTAAGTTTTTCCGATGATAAAGCCTCTTCAAGAAAACAAATGGGATTTTTAAATACTCTCGAGGTGACGAAATATTTTTAAGAATTTTTCGGGATTGATGAAAAATTTTAAAAGTTATTTTCAATATTTAATAAAAAATTAT